CTTCTCTTACATAACAAAGCCAAGGAAGCCTAACTTTGTATTACAAATGCTTATAAATACCAAGAGCATTGCAGAGGAAAAAAACAATTGGAACTTATTACACAAAACCCAGCTTCGTTTATTACAACCATTTTCCTTTATTTACTAGGGAAATACATTAAAGTATTTTCATAAATACTTTTCATAAACCAAGAGTAACACCCCATCTCTACCAAAAATAGAAAAAATTAGCCGGATGTGATGTGCACCTGTAGTCCCAGTTACTCAGGAGGCTGAGGCAGGAGGATCGCGTTAGCCCAGGAGTTTGGGGTTGCTGTGAGCTAGGCTGACGCCACGGCACTCTAGCCCAGGCAAAAGAGTGAGACTCTGTCTCAAAAAAAAAGAAAAAAAAGAACCCAACCTTCCTATATTACAACCATATTACAACCATTTTATTTTATTTACTAGCAAAACTATATTAAGGTGAACTGGCAATAAACAAGTTTCATTCTGTATCTAAAGAAAATTAAACAGCATTTATTGATGTAACAACAGTTCTCAAAATCATTTCCAAAGTATAAAACAAAGGATTATGACAGAAGTGGATGACACACACGGCACAGTCATCCCCAGAGTGCTGCCTTAAGAGTGAAAAATTAGTCAGTTTTAGTCCTGGATCTTACACTAACTTGAGGTAATGGAAATCACTTTACTTTTTACAGCCTCTTTTTTTCACCAGTGAAATGGAGAGAATAAAAAGAAAAGACAGTTAAATAATTATGTTATTACTGACACATCAACATCAGCTTTAAAAACCTACTTTCCTTTAAGGTTTTCAAAATTGTTTTTATTAAATGTGGATATAATATTCAAAGGCTTATAATAAAAATAGGAAGTTCCATGTCTAACCCATCTTCATGCCCCAAGAGCAATGCATTTCAACTCTTCCAGCTCTTTATTCTGGTATTTATCTCCGTATTTTGAGGTAATGAGAGTTCTGGTATTTCTTGCGTCTTTGACTTTGGACTCTTGACTTCTTATCATGGTAGAGGAGAAGTTAAACCACCATACCCACTGCCCATATCTCCACTCTCCCAATGCAGTTATAATTCTTGGTCTGATCAATAGAATTTATATGATTTGGACTATACAAATAATTCTTCAGTGCTGAGTGAATTGATTCTGTCTTCTTTCTCAAACTGGGATTAGCTATAGTTTTCTATATAACTATTACCACTTTGTACAAAAGGCCCAAGAGATACGCCCTATACCTATTAATAATTGATGGAATCATCCAAACACATCAAATCATCTGTCAATTCTTTCTCCATCTCCTAAGCCCAACTTCCCTTGCCCTCTCCAGACCATGTGTGACTATCACCTGGGACTTCTCTGACCCTCCCTAAATCCTCCATGTCTTTAACTTGGCTTTCTCAATTTGCTGAGGCACATCCTTCAGTACCTTCCTAAGGGTCCACAGAAAATATATGTTCTTAGTCAATGAATGATTGAAAATGCCGCTAGTCTACCCTCACACTTGATTGACATTTTGACTGAATAAAAAATTCTAAGTTGAAAATAACCTTTCCCTAGAATTTCAAAGGCATGCATCCGCAATCTTCTAGCTATCAGCATTGCTGAGAAGGTTCCTACCTTTCTGATTCATAATCATTTGTCATTTTTCTTATAGAATGTTTTTAATATCTTTTTTCATCTGTATTCTAAAATTTCAAAGTAGTATGTTTCATAGTGGATCTGTATTTTATTCATATGTACATGTGAGGTCCCTTCAATCTTGAAGACTCATGCCTTTACTTCCAGAAAATTTTCTCATAGTCTTTCTTTGGTCATTTTCCTCCTACTCCCCCCAAATTTTTTTCTGCTATATTTTTTCCAGAACCAGTGTATTAGTTACCTATTGATGCATAAGATATCACAGCAAAACTTAGAGGCTTAAACAAGCAATCGCCATTTATTATGTTGATGACTTCTGTAGAGAGGGAATTCTGGGAGCAGAGTGGAGATGCCTCATTTCTGTTTTATCGTGTTTGAGGCCTTCGCTGGAAGACTGGAAGGCCAGGCAACTGGAAATACTGGAAGGCTTGACTGGGGCAGGAGGATTCACTTGTAAGGTGGCTCACTCACATGGCTGGAAAGATGGTGCTGGCAAGTTGGCTCCTCTCCACGCGGCTGCTTGAGATCCACACGACATGACAGCTGGCCTCCCCAAGAGTGAGTGATCCAAGAGGCCAAGGCAGAAGCAGCAATGTCTTTTATGACCTTGTCATAAAAGTCTCATATTGTCCCTCCCACAGTATTTGGTTCACCATGCAAGTCAGCCCCTGATCATTGTGGGAAGAGATTCCCCAGGGGTCTGAGTACAAGGAGGCGAAGACTCTTAGAGTCCATCTTGGACAGTAGTTACTCCCATGACATATTGGTACTCTTAGATCGATCCTCTTATTTTCTTAGTTTTGGTTCTATTTCAGGAGTTATTTTAAATCTTCCAGCTATTCTACTGAAAGTTTTATTTATCACATTTTCATTTCTTTTCTTTCTTATTCTCTGATTGTCTTTATCATGTCCTGATTTTGTTTCATGGATTCATTATCTTTCCTTCACTCTCTGTGGATCCTGATTATGAGTATTTGTTGTTTCTTTCTATTTTTTAATGTATTTTTTAAAGTGCCCTCCATTGTCTCTATTTTCTGCATTCTCTTTTTTTTTCACTTGGTTTTGTCTCCTTGTTGGAAGTGTTCTTCAAAACCTGGGGATCCTTTGCTGCCCATTCATGTTTGAGAACAGGCACTAAACAGTTGAGGGGAATCTCCACATATTTATGCAAGAATTGCTGCAAACCACTCTTAACTCACATACACCACACACACACACACACACACACACACACACACATTAAAACAACAAAAAAAGGCACGTCCCTCTTCCTCCAGTATTCTATGTGTCCACAGCTCAGGGACAGGCAACGCCCTTCCTTGTTTGGGACAAAAGCCTTGGCGTCACGTGTGCCTGTTCTCCATCACTCACGCTACATATCTAATTCATAGGCAAATACCACTTTTAAACCCAGTGTACAGGACAACCCAACCACTCCTTACCACCTCCTCCTCGACCACAGGGGCCCAAGTCATCACTATCTCCTCCCTAGACAACTTCCAAAAGCTCTCTAGTGGCTCTCCTTGTTTCCACCCTGACCCTTACAGCTTATTCTCAACACAGCAGCCAGGTCACTCTGTAAACATAATTAGAACAACTCTTCCCTCTACTTAAAATCCTCCAGTATCTTCTGATCTCACACAGGATAATCCAAGTTCTCACCCCACTGTTAGGTCCTTCATTATTTGCTTTTGATTTCCTCCCCAGCATGCTCCTCCGGTGACACTGACCTCTCTCCTCAAACACACCAAGCATCGTCCTGCCTTGCCTGGAATGCACTTCCCCCACATCAGCATGGCGTGCTCCTTCATCTCCTCAGTGAGGCCTTCCTGGAATACTCTGTATAAAAGAGCACCTCTGCCTGTCCTCACCACTCTGCCCTGAGCTCCACGGGGCATATCACACAATTATTTACTGCCTGTCTTTCCACACAAGCACAGGACGGGGCCTTATCTGGTTTGTTCACTGCCATATCCCCTTCGTTGAAATGAATGCGAGTGGCTGCAGGGAGGTGATAAAGTGAGGGAGCTGGCCTTTTCCTTTGGAGACCTCCAATGTCACATCTGTTGTCTTTTTCCTGAGGCTAATCTATTTCTTTAATGACGACACTACTTATGCCCTGCCCCACTTGGAGGGGTAAGGGATTCATACCTGGCCACTGGCTTAAAAAAGCCAGACAGGGAAAAGGCCAGAGGGTCCCTGGTGTTGGCATGTAGACTTACTTAGTCCCCCTGTCTTTAGGCCCCAAAATGTAGCTGTGTAAGCACGGTCAGGAGCTTCTTGAGTGTGGTTTTTCCAGAAGATAAACTTTTCATTTTCTATAAGATACAACAAAGTAATCTCCTGGCAATACAAGCAAAGATGAGGAACTGGGGGTTTGACTGTTTGGTAGTGGAACTTTTTAACAACCTGCTTACGTTAGCCCAGTGCTTCAGTCTACTTCCTGTGACATCTTTTGAGTGCTGAGATTCTCAGAGGTTTGTCCAGTAAACTGACTCCATTCTTGTCACAATTGCCTGCGACAAGCATGTGGGTTTGGACATTCACTGTTCCGCTGGGCAGCTGTCAGCACTCCATCTGCTTCCTGACTTCCGGGAAGTGCTGAAATCTCTCACCCACTACCATTTCTTTGTCCTGTGTTTTAATAACTTTTTTTAAAAGTTTTTCTTCTTTCACTCTCATTTTAGGAGTTTGGAAAGGAGAGGTAAACCCGTGCTCCATCTTCGATATTTAAGCAGGATCTCTTAGCTGCTCTTCGATCACTTAGCATTTCTCCCGGGCACCCATCCAGCAGAAAAATTACTCTTCTACTTCATATGTGGTGAAGATGTTTCTAGATCCAACCCACACACTATCAAATACATGGTCCTGAATTAACATTGATCAAAGCTGAGATTCAGACTTAAGAGGTTTGAAAATAAAAATGGGGATCTTAGTTGCTTTGCAAAGATTTCTTCATCACACACACAAAATAATTCAATGGTGCTGAACTCTCAGGAGAATATGCCTTCGAAAACACAGAGACAGATACCTCATCTCTCAACACATTATGGGGAACTGATATTTCAAAAAAGAAAACCAGCAGTTGGTAAAACAGACCTAGAAATCTACAACTGCTGCTATCATAAAAGTAGCTAAAAATTTTGATTGGTTATCAGGATAAAAAAAAAGTCAATTTTATGGTATAGACTATCACATTAAAAAGTATATATGTACTATATACATCATAATATGCACGGGCACAAAAAGCAGAGGCAAAAAGCTAGGAGAAATTTTTTTAAAAAGTAGATCCAGAATAAACCGCAGGAGTTGGAGAAACTATAACCATCTTAAGAATAAAAATCTGAATATTTCCACCAAATAAAAGTAATAATAAAATCCAGGTCATTTTGTCTATTACCTGTACTGTTATTTAGCTATTGAAAAATAAGGAAATAAATCCTAGCAGGCTTTTTGGGAGAAACTGACGAGCAGATTGAACAGAACAGAGAGACCAGATCTATACCCACATACATATGACACATATATGTGAACTCATTTTCAAGAAAGGTACCAGGGCAATTCAATGGGGAAAAGATAATCTTTTTAACAAATGGCAATGGATCTTTTTAACTAAATAGTCATAGGCCAAAAAATGAGCCTTCACCCTTACCTCCTATCATATATAAAGATTAACTTAAAATGGATTAGCCTAAGTGTAAGAGCTAATTGCATCAAAGAAAACAAAGAAAATCTTAGAGAACAATTTCTCAAATACAACACAAAAAGCACAAGCTATAAAAAAGACATCAATAAATTGGACTTCATCAAAATTAAAAACTTTTGCTTTCAAAACACACTGTCAAGAAAATAAAAAGTCAAGCCACAGACTGGGGGTAAATATTTGCAAAACTTATGTCTTACAAGAGACTTGTATCTATAATACAAAAAGAATTCTTACACCTCAGTAAAAAGAAGACAACCCAATTAAAAAATGGACAAAATATCTGAACAGAAACTTCACCAAAGAAGGTACATGGATAGCAAATAAGTGCATGAGAAAATGACCAACATCCTTAGCCATCAGGGAAATAAAAATTAAAATTGCTGTAAGATACCATCTATTACAAACCCACTAAAATGGCTAAAATTAAAAAGACTGACCATACCAAGTGTTGGCAATGACATAAAGCAATTGGAAAGGTCAGTATACATTAATATAAAACTACTATGTATCACACACATTTTAATGTGAAATACAAGGTGACAATACTAAGAGTGGTATAAGCTGGCATGGAGACCTAGTCTTCTAGTGTTATCACACTTTTTCAGTTTCTGAAATACCACTTTATCCATGCTTAAAAAGAATGTAGAAAAGATTATGATTACAATTTACAAAGACAGGCTA